GTTGCAAAAAATATGTATAATATGATTGTAGACAATTGTTTATTGACAAGAATTATATCACCAAGACTAAATTTTTTAAATATTCTTTGACATTTTGATTACCATACATAGTATTGATAATAAATTATAGTCTTTTTTTTTATTATATAATGATTTAAAAATTTATAAATATTTAGCTTCTTGTAGTTAAATACTATATATATACACTAAGAATGAAGTAGAATAATTATTGAAAGATTATATTTTTAAGACTAGAAAATCCACACATTAACTACAAATTAGATAATTTAAACTTTAACTAGATACATGGTTACAAATCTGGGAAATTATTTAGAATTTCAAACTCTGTTAGGTACATAGTCCTTAGAACCTTTTAGAGACAAGTTTCTAGAACCTTCTAGAAACAAGTCTTTGGAACCTTCTAGAAGCTTCTTAGTTGATGGAAGTTGCTTGAGAAGCTTCCTAGTTGGTGGAAGTTGCTTGAGAAGCTTTTTAGTTGGTGGAAGTCGCTTAAGAAGCTTCTTAATTGGTGGAAGTTACTTGAGAAGCTTCCTAGTTGGTAGAAGTTGCTTAAGAAGCTTCTTAGTTGATGGAAGTTGCTTGAAAAGCTTCCTAGTTGGTAGAAGTTGCTTGAGAAGCTTCCCAAATAGGAGTATATATTGGAATCGAGGCTGAAGAGTTCTTCAGTCTCGACAATACATCTCTTGGAGCTCTAGCTCACCTCTCTCGTGTTGTTCTTGTATTCATGTGATTAATCTAGTTCTTGCCGGTTCTTCTTGAATTTCTTGTTAGATCTCAAGCCTGTATTTCTGTGTCCGTGACAATTTCTCGAGACTGAACTCACCTCAGATATTAGAGCTAGTTTCTTCTTCGTTAGAGTGTGGATTACCACTCTACTTGAAGATGTACTAATATTTTAGAGGTTACGAATTACCCTCCTCTAAACTGATACTTCTTTTGTTACAATATTGGAGACTTATTCTTCTTGGAGAGAGTGGATTACTGTCACGGACACAGAAATATAGACTTGAGATCTAACAAGAAGTTCAGGAAGAACTGACAAGAACTAGATAAATCAGATGAGAACAACACCAGAGAGGTGAGCTAGAGCTCCAAGAGATGTGTTGTCGAGACTAAAGAACTCTTCAGCCTCGATTCCAATATATACTTCTATTTAGGAAGCTTCTCAAGTAACTTCTACTAACTAGGAAGCTTCTAGAAGGTTCTAGAGACTTGCTTCTAGAAGGTTCTAGAAACTTATCTCTAGAAGGTTCTAAGGACTATGTCTCTAATATCTTCTACCAACTAAGAAGCTTCTAGAAGGTTCCAGAGACTTGCTTCTAGAAGGTTCTAAGGATTATGTCCCTAATATCACCCCCTCCTTTAGCTTCAAGGTCTTTCAGAAGCAATGTTGTTGATCAGTACCAACGCAAGAAAATGAAGATCTGTCGAATAACGTTTGCTATGAACTCCAACTGTTGTTCACAAGGTAAGTGGTTCATCGGCCCTTGAAGCCAATGGTAGTGGCCCACTCCTTCAACTTCTGACCAAGCATGAACTTTCGTATCCTCATTGTGAAATTGTCCTGCAAATACGCCTTCTGGCTGACCATTGTAAGCAGGCTCGAACTCAAATACAATCACCAGTGATCGGTTACTCAGTATCCTGCATCGTCATCGTGGTGTAGGCAATTCTTCATCTCAGAATCGCCTTCATGAGCTAGTCGGTTGAGATAATCTGACTAGGATAGTATCTATTTCTTAGCTATCCATATCAGAAGACCAAACTATGGCTACTGAAAAAATTCCATTTTATCTTGGAGAAAATAACTACAACAACTACGAATTTTGGTGGTGCTCTCCCCCTTTCTTATATTCTTCGGTGAACAAGCTTCAGAAAGAAGCTATCGTCGAACCGGCTTAGGTTTATGATGATGTTGTTGATGAAACTCTTGTACCTTTTGCAACGCATTGGCGAGATTTTCAGCTCACTCCCACGTTCACTCATTAATGTTGTAGCCGCACCAATGAATAAGATACTCCAACTTGCCCCACCTTCACCATGAATCCAGTACCTTTTCAACCTCGTAATCCTCGTGGTTCTCGATCTCAATACTAGGTGGCGGATATTGTACTCTTCCATAAAAAGATGACTCTCAATAAGGCTCTAATAGAGAAACATGAAAGACTGGATGTACCTTCATAGAAGCCGATAATTCCAGACGGTACGCCACTGGATTGATTTGCTTTTGGATGATAAATGGTCCCAATCTTCGATAGTCCAACTTATCACATGGTCGCTTGGTCTTGATATTCCGTCGAAGAAGCCATGCTTTATCTCCAATTTTGAAAGTAGGTGCTTGATTCCGAAATCTATCTGCAGACGCCTTGTAGGATTCTTGAGCAGATTGTAATTGAAGCTTCAACGTAGTTTGAAGCTCTAATAGTTGCTTCGCAAATCCTTCAGCTACTGGATTGTTATTTGTTGACGAACTCAATAAATCAAGCTTCGGATGATACTCATAGTTGGAAAAGAATGGTGTGTATTGAGTCGACGCACGGAGGATGTTGTTATATGCAAACTTGGCTATCGACAAATATGTGGTCCAATCGT